ATAAATAATTTTGTTTGAAGAACATTTATATGCAGTTGTACTTCGCAGCACTTCACTTGCAATTTGCAATTTCTAGTTGTATTTGTTACTAATGCTAATACCAGTAGTGTTCTACATAATATTTTCTGGTATTAATCATTTATATCGTCTTTTCATGTATTTGTGTAAAAAATATAAAAAGAAAAAATAATGATAATTGATAACTCAATTTAATAATAAATAAGGATACAATTATATCCAGAGTTTTAAACCCTTTAAGTATTTTTAATCACAAGTGATATATTGTGTTACATTTGCAGAAAGATGATATCATCCATATTATCAGCAAACCTCCAAACGGCAACTGGCTTGGAATGCTGGATAACAAGGTTGGCACGTTCAAGTTCATCTATGTCCAAATCATCGAGGAAAAGCCAGTGAGGGAAAAACGCAAGGAAAGGGAAAGGAGAGGAAGAAATGAACAATTTACACAGCCAATCAGTGTTGAGTCTGTTTTAAAGAAGATCAATTGTGATGTAAATTTATACTTTTTTAGTTGTTTGATTGGAAATTTAAGCTTTTGTCTTTGAGCACATTCTACATATTATAATAATATAAGTTAGATAAATTTTCATGTGTGAAATTTTTTTTAAAATTGCGCTCCCAGTGGCATATCTAGAAGTCTTGAAATGGGGGTACTGATGGGGGGGGGCGAAGGTGAAGTGGGGGCACGAAGGTGAAGTAGGGGCTCGATGATCAGTTGAGGGGCGCTAATTCACAAAATAAGGTGATTTTAGGTGATTTTTAACTACTTGACCATGATTTTTTTTGGGGGGGGGGGGGGGGGGGGCGCAAGTAATTTTTGGGGTGGCATGTGTGAGACTTGGTATTTATAATATTAATAATATAATAATAGTGTAGTTTTATATAGCGCACATATCCATCTAATGAAAGATGCTCAGGGCGCTTGATATGTGGACTAGGAACTCGATCAATGACTTTCTTCGCCCCTAAGGGTCCCTTCGTGTCTGTGCTACCCGGTAACCCTGTACCAGTAACTGTCGTCTTCCACTACTATGTACTGAATGTATATAAATAAATGCTGTACCTTTTGATTCTCATAGCAATACTTGACCACGTTCCAGTTGAATGGCTATGAAAGTGTGGATTTGTTTAAGAATCTTGACAAAGAGGATTTGAACCAGCTGAATATTGTGGACTGCGTTGACCAGGTCAAGATCCTGACGGCTGTCAACTTACTGCAAGACTCAGACGGTAAGTAGATAAACTGACAGTTAAAATGTGGCACGGTAATATAATTATGCACACCCTGTGGCATAATGTGCACACCTTATGCCACGGTGAATACCTTGTGGCATGGTACATGAATTAAGGCATAGGGCGCATACTGTAAGTTGTGTAGATTAAGTATGGTGCACAAGTTGTGGCATGGTACACACTCTGTGCCAGGTGGTATACATCTTGTAGCATGGTGTGCATACCTTGTAGCATGGTGTGCATACCTTGTGGCATGGTACACACCTTTGGCGTATGGTGCATACTGTACATTGTGTAGATTAAGTATGGTGAACAACTTGTGACATGGTACAGACTTTGTGGCAGGTGGTGCACATCTTGTAGCATGGTGCATATTTTGTTTCAAAGTAGGAGCCATGATATGATATATACATGGCTCCTACATGATATATGCTATAATAGAGCCATACAGACTTTATCAGTATGGATTTGGAATGTTTGGACTTGATAAGTGTAGTAAGGTTAAGCCAGAAGAAACTATGCGTCTGAAAGAAAGCGAGTTTTGATTGCTTGATGGAGAGGTGTTGAGCTTCTTGACTTTATTGTGTGTTTGCTTCCCATAGAACTGAACAACATTTTTCTTGAAGGTTTGCAGGGTGAGTAAACATTAATAAAATAGTTAGATTTTTGGTACACATGTAAAAAAAAAAGATTGTTAAAAAACACACCACTGGTCTGTTGTCCCAACGTTCCAGATTGTAAACAATAAACAATGGATTACTTTAATCATTTTTTTCATTTCATTAGAATAATCTCAACAAAATGTTGAGTGGATGCTTTTTTTTTCTCTGTAAAGAAGTATACCAAAAAACTAAATATTTACTACTAGTCTGAGTTTTGGCATGAATAACAATATATTTATATTAACAGAAGTGTTGTGAAATGACTGGCTTGCACAATATTTGTAGGGCATATTAAGAAGCACTTTACTCTCTGCTGCCTGAGAATTGAATAACCAGCTATATCAAATATTTGTCATCAATTTTAATGGATGACTCTATTCTACTGTCCATAAAGTTTCATAACATACCACAAAACATCTCGCTTTATCCTTGGTTTATTGTCTGCTTCCCTCACAGTTTTGTAATATACCAGAGTTCAGGTCCTACTACTATTGGGATTGTCTTCACTGTTTGTTGGCCTCATAGTTTCATAACCTACTAACACACCATAGAGTTGTAATAAGAATACTAGAGCGCGAACTCCAGTGCATTCAATGTTAAAAAAACACAGAGCTGTGTATCGCTATGCAACAAGATGGCTGCTGTAGATGTTAGCCAATCAAAATTCGTCTAAGCAGTGTTTTCAATGGCATCCTCAATTTAACATGAAAGTTTAGAGTACAGCTAAGTTACCCATGTTTAAGATTTAGCCTTGCAGTGTAGTGAACACAATTAAAATTCCTCAGTACTGTATTTTTAAATCAGATACTCCACTTGGCCTCTTTTTGGCTAGTTTAATAATTTGTTAATATCATTAATATTAATGGTGAGTAAAATAATAGTTTGTCAGAGGTCTTATTTATGGTTGTAATATGTATACTAAGTCTGAATACAGGCTAACTTGTACACATGCCAAATCGTACACACAACTCATACACAAATTTTGGATAACTCCTACGCAGAATTTTGGCGAGCCTGTACACAAGTTTTGTGTAAGATTTACTTTTGTATTTCAAGCATTATGCAAATGTATTGTATTTTGATAATAGTCATACTGATCTATATTATTAAAACCTACTTATGGTTATTAGAACATGTCATCCATAAATGATAAATAAATTTAGAGATGTTTTCAGACTTAGTAAAGATTTTGTCTTTTTAACGATGCTTGACTAATACTTTTTTTTTTCAGTAACAGTGTAATGATTATTATTGACGTTTTTTATGATTGTTATTGTTTCATAAATTTTAATTACCATTAATTTGAACTTAATTTTAGAGTGTTTAGTACAGTATGTAGGCTGGTGGTAGATATACTTTTTCTTCTTGCAGTTCCCAGAAGTAAAAAGTCAAGTGTACCGAACATAGTTATGCTACTATTTATATACTATTATTATTATTATGTTATTGTTGTTATTATTATTGTAATTATTCTTTTCAATAATGTTTTTGCATTTTGTTAAACAGTGAATACTATGGTAGCTGTCACATGTACAGGGAAGATTTCTCTTTGTTAGCTACCATCTCGTGTGAGGAAAATAAAATTATGAATTATGAAATTACCAATTTCGTAATTTCAGTATTCATAATAAAGGCCTATGTGTACGTTGCTGCGGTATTGAATAATTTGTTAAATCAAATATACTTTTATATCTGAGTTTTAAAATATACTATCAATGACGACTTGATGTTAATGGTGATATGTATGTAGTAGGTGAACACACGTAAAACCTTCACTGCCATCGCATATGTTGCACCAAAAAATTGCTATTTTTTAGCGTCTGACCTACTTCTGTCTTTGCAATAATGTGCCTACATTCTTGAAGGTGGCGTACAAGAATATGTCTGCTTCCCTCACTGAGTACCGTGGGAACCTGTTTGGTTGTGGAAAGTTTCTGATTTTTTTCTAGTTAGGCCTATACCAAGCTACTAGTACAGGTAATATGCTTCGAAGTAGTGAATTTTTCCAGCTTTTAAAAAGAAGCGCAAAACGGCCACTTGTATGTATTTATAAATTATATTAAAACTATTTTACTATATTTCCCATTATTTGTGTGTTTTGTAAACATCAGAATATGTATCGAAAATGGAAATAAAACAAATCAAGAAAATACAAATATTCTCTCTACTTCACCTCAAGAATACCGTGGGAATCTGTTTGTGAGAACGTTTCTTTCCACAAATTATATATACTCTAGTTGCAACTGTGAAATAGGCTTAGCAAGTGAGCGATTTTGTTGGGCTTATGAATATAAAAAATAAAGCCTGAAACGGATATTGAAATGTACGGTATGCACTGATAAATATATTTATAATTTTATATGGAAAATATATATATAAAAATGCCATATATTTTCTTTATCATCATTCATCATCATTTAGTATATTTCCATTTATTTTTATGTATTATCATAAACATGGTCAGAAAATTTATGGTAAATGGGAAGAGACAAGTAAACAAACGATGACAAACTAATAATTTGACTACTCTGTTTCATTCTCCATTTAATTTAAGCAATAATAAACTTGCAGTCAAAATATATTTCAACAAACGATATAAAGAAAGGTATCTCAAACCTAGTTGACTTAGTAACATTTGCATTGTTTCTGTAAAAAAGCAAAAATAACACCAAGTGATACTAAACCTTAATACTAATAGTTGTAATGTTACAGTAAGCCCTAATGCATACATGCCAAGTTAAACAATTTTGCAGGCGTGAGACTTCTAAAAACCTCATACTCTTGGCATTTTTTCTTGAGACTACGTATTTCTGCCGTCCACAAACCTATCCCACTGGCAGTTTTTTCTTTGACGACCTTATTGATGCAACTAGTTTGATCTCATCTGATCGAAAAACTAAGAGAAATTGACCCTATAAAAAATAGGGTACAAGTTTGCAAAAAGTCATGTGTACGAGATCACTAATCGTCTGTACGAGTTCGCCTAAGTTTGTGTAGGAGTTTGCCAAAGTGTGTACGAATTGGCATGGGTACGAGTTGGCATGTGTACAAGTTAGCCAGCACCCCTAAGCCTTAAGGTGGTGCTTTCTTATGGCGGGCATCTTGTTAAGTTACTCTGCATTGCTTTGTCGCCTAGTTAGCACTCTAGTTGATATAATACTGTAGCTCTATGTAGCAGACCTACATATGCCATGTGGTGGTCTTATGTCTGCTGCCCTCAAATTTTGATATCTAATTACAGATCCAATCACTCTCATATTTTTTCTTACATATATCCAGACATTAATGTTACAAGAATTGTTTAAAACAATTTCTTCTTTGGAGATAATACATTTTTCTGATTATGATTCTGAATATCGTTAATCCTATGCTAATGTGTTTTCCAAAAACATAATACACGTTTAAAAGACAATCTTCCTGTAATGCGTTTGTGTGTTTCAACACTTGATTATGTACAAGTGAACAATGAATAATTATATAATGCAATATTGTACAGTACACGCAAAGTTTTAATCAACTTTGAGCTAAAATTTGACAGTCATGTTGTCTGTTGCCTCATTTAAATATGTTGTAAATAAATATGAATTGGGTAATATGAGAAGCTGCTGAGCAAAAGGCCTGTGTTTCAATATTGCATAATTAATCTGATTTTGAGTGACTAAAAACTAATGCTACACTTTATCATTGACAAAACATTTTTTAGTGTATACCTCTGTACATAGACCTACAACTGCAGTGAAAACAAATTCTGTAACTTATACAAATTGCATACCATATCTTTTAATTATTGAACACCTTTTTTCATCAACTATTTTATTAATGTATTTTTTATAGAGTATGGCTGTACTAATTATCAGATCATAAAAGGAAACCAAGTTAAATGGTGGTTTATATTTTAGAAAGTTCCCCCCACCCTCCAAAAAAAAAAAAAAATTATTCATGCTAGGTATTTTGATTTTGATTTTGATTTTTTTTTTTGCAGATGAAGAAAGGTTAACCATTGCAGCTACTGATGCTAGACACAAGCATCCAGCGGCCAGTGGATTCATTCATCAACCACCATCACTCCCAAATTTGTCAGGTTTTCCAGCGCGAGATTCTGGCTGCTATGCCAGTACGGAAAACCTGATGAATAACAACCGAGACCACACTGGTACTAGAGAACAAAATATATCTGTGATTAACAACTCTGGGGGAACTTGGCCCAGACCAGCAAAAAAGGAACTCCTTGCCTCGTCTGAAGAGAACCAGTCTGATTCCACCAGAAGCTCTCCAAAGACTTCAGAAACTTCTGATGATTATGATTGTTCCAATTTAATTGAAAACAGCACAGACTCTGCACATTCCGAGAGGAGTCTACGTGAAAGTGCCAACAAGGAAGACAGTAATAGTAACTGTAAGACAATTGCCCGAAACCTCAACAGAGAACTTCCGGAGAAAGATTTGAACATGTTCAAAGACATTTCCACAGGGAAATCTGAGAACGGTGCATACTTCAACAGCGATGATGAACCCAGAGATGAGGGGGTGAACCAATCAAAACAACCATCGGTCACCGAGCTTCTCCAACTTTATGACTCGGCTGCGAGGACAACAATAAGTCCGACATCAAGTCCAGCAATTACCCCCGGAACTTTGCGGAAAAATAATTTACTTCGTATCAACACGCTTGGTACTGATAAAGGACCAACTGAAATACAATCAACAACTAGCGCCCATGAATGTGCTCTTTCATATAGGACATCAACACCGCCCCCTAACAAAAAAGAACAGGTTATTAGAAGTACAGGTGTAGCACTTGAAGCAGATTTTATTGAACCACTTACGGAACCAAATGATTTTGGTCGCAATTGCCCGTCATCTAAGAAAAACAAGTCTTATAAAGTTAAACTGTCTCATTTAAAATTAGATTCTAAAACATCCTCTAGAGCATTATTATCTGACGACGAAGAGTCAAATCCGTCACCAGCGCTACCGATACATCCGGCCAGGAGACCACGTCCACAGGTTTCATCTTTGGATGTGTTGCTGCGCCAGAGGTTAGAAGATGATATGATAGATTTGGCGCAAGAACCATACACGGATAGGGTAAGTTAAAAGCGGTAACTCATCGAGTGCCTTCACTATGCTAGAATTATTCAAGAATTATATAACATACAGTAGATATATTTGTTCATATTTGTGCAGCTTGACTTCATTGCTTATACAGTATATCAAAATATAATGATAGTAATAGTATGAATAGTGTTTTGTGTACAACATGGCAATGGAATTTTCAAAGCATTTTTTATTATTAGCCTGCTCATCTAAATCCTTATTTGATTTACATCCTCCGCTACAGGGATTATTCCTGGTCATGCATGAATAATTAGCTGAACAAAATAGATTCAATGGAATCATCATCAGGTATTCATTACTACTCCCGCATGGAGATCCTTTAAATAAAGTGCTTTGCCCAAGGACACAAGAAATTAGGCAGCATGCTGTTCGCATCCCGACAAGGATTCAAAGAAATACTCATCTGTTAGTTTGAAGGCGTGCTTGTTAGAAACAGTCTGTGGTTGTCAAATCGAGGGGGATGAATCCTACATCAAGAGTAAAACACTACAAACATATACTGTAGCTACAAAAGCAAATTCTTGTTTCAGATTTATAACAGCCCCTACAGCTTTCACATTGACATATGCATTATAGGAGTCAATTTCTAGAACATCTATTTAATAGTAGTAATAGATTTATAACTCACATGCTTTCAGTATATTGCTGTGGTAGTCATTACATTAGTGTCTGAATCTACCATGTACCCACTTATACTCTTGGGTGAAGGAAAACAATCATATGAGTGGCCAAGCATTCAAGTGATCAAGTGAAATTCACAGAAAAGATTTGAACCCTGACCTCAACGTTTTTGCTTTACTCAACTGCTACGCATACCATTACGTGCATCCTGTAATTAAAAACATCCCAGTTTGATAAATAAATAATAGTATGCATTTGAACCACCATGGAAATTGTAATCATAAAAAATAATTGACTTTGTAAAACCTAGACTTGCTAGTGTGTATGAAATTGATTTACAACAGTAATGCTATTTCTGATATAATAATAATTGTATGCAGCCCGAATTAAAAACATCCCAGTTTGATGAATAAGTAATAATATGCATTTTAACCACCATGGAAATTGTAATCATGAAAAATAATTGACTTTGTAAAACCTTGACTGTCTAGTGTGTAGGAAATTGATTTACAGCAGTATTGCTATTTTTAATATAATAAAATAATAATATATTTATTTCCTCCAATAAAACATCAAGAGTATATAAAACATACAGAGGAGGTTAGACGAAGGAGAAACAACGGGGGGGTGTCAGACGAAGGAGTAACAAGTTCCTATCTCCAAAATGTTTTCATTTGCCCATGTGTATTTTATTACATTTTTTTTTTAATATGTCCTGTTTGCTATGATTTATGAATAGTGGAAATACCGAACAATATTTCGAAAAGACAATTTGAACCATAATGATAGTAAAAATGCTATTAATAATCTTTATTATAAACATTGTTTATTAAGCACCGCACACAATTTCCCTAAGCACTTGATAACTGGATTCTTGCCAGAATCATTCTTTATTACCTGTATGATTTGTTTTGTCACCAGGTCGGTGTTTGCGGAATTCCATCAGCTTTAGTTCAACGTTACGCGGAAGAATTAAAACATCCATTAGTGGAGGTAGCTGAAGGATTGGAGAGAATCCGAATAATTCATCTGAGGGACATTGGAAAGATGGGGGTAAGTAAATAGGCTAGAATAGCATATTGTTAAAGTTCTCAAAGATAGGGGTAAGTAAATAGGCTGGAATAGCGTTATCCTCCATGACTAAGTATTGCTCAACCTATAAAATGGTCACAATGTAAGTGCTGTATAATTGTAAAGCCAAGCACTTACTGCATCGTATGGCGCCCCCAACTCCGCTATCTGTTAGCGCTACGCCGTCTGCTGATTGTCAGTGGCAGTCTGAACGGATCGTCATTAAAAACGATTTGTTGCACATGCGTCATGGCATTGTGTTCCTCACAGAATCGTGTCAGTTGATGACTGTAAGGTGCCATTAGTACCTGGCTGGAATCCTTTCCACCAGAATTTAAAATTTCCAGTAAGGGTTCGGCCACCAATATTGAGATGGCATTATTTAAGTTGCTGTGTAACACAGGTACTGGACTAGTAGTGGTCACCAATTTTTTTACTCTACTTATACCGATTCCATTTTGATTGAAGTATGAATAAGGCCAACACTGTACACCATTTGCATTTTGCAAAGAAAAAAAAAAATCATGCATTTAGTTAGGGAGCCTAATATATTCTTGATTTATTTTATTTACTGTAATGTACTGTAGTTTTTGTATGCAAGCAAAGAAGTTCCCAACTGGGATTAATGAAGTTTTTTATTTTATCTTACCTAGCATTTCAAATTTGTTCATTATTGATTATTTATTAGGGAGCCAATATATACATGTTGATTCTAAAAAATTACTTAACATTTTAAAATCGTTTATCGTAGTAATGTAATTTAGTTAGGCAGTCTTATTCTTGTTTACACATTGGCATTTTCAATTTAGTATTCGTCTTTTTTTTAAATTTATTTATTACATTTTACTCTGAAAAGTTTTTATAGGGTGCTATATTAAAAACTTATATTATTATTATTGTTATTATTGTTAATATTATTAATATTATATTATTATTATTATCATTATTTCAAAGTGGTTGTTATATCACTTAGGGAATCTTATGTCCATATTTACATATTGATTTTTTTTGTATTACCTAGCATTGTTAATTTTTCATTGACTTTTCATCATTGAGTTAAGGCACCATATAAACTGTTTTTTGTTTTTTTTCCCGCAAAGGCTCTCTAAGAAGATTTGGGGATAGCAGTCTAGGAATTAATACAGTTAAAATAGAATTGCCTACATATTTCGTCATAAACCAGTGAACTTTTCCATATTTATTTTTTTAGTACATTTTTACATTAATAAAACAAGAAATGTGTTGGAATTTGCATGAAAAGAGGTTTCAAAGATTTAAAGTCACCACTACCCATAGCAAAACAATGTTACTTCCATTAGCAACCTTTATTAAATATATATCTGTGTACAATATTGGTTATATCTATGTACATTACAAAAATATTTTTCTCACAATTGTTCTAAATGCAAATACTGATGCGTGATAATGTCACGGATTTTTGTTCACTGGTGTTATATAACCATATCCCTTGGAGATCAAATTGTCTCTGTTCATCACGACAGATAATGCTTGACTTAAATTTAATAATCTGATAGAGATGTTATTAATTTATTTTATGTTTCTTAATGGGAATTTTATGATCAAGTTATTAAGCTTGTTATAAAATTGTATTCTTCATCTTACTGGCCAAGAGTACTCAATTAAACAGTACATTTCAATTCAATATGCTTTCTTCAACCCAGAGCTTAGTAATACATTATTTTTTTATGACTTAAAACATTCAATAATGTTGTCTGGCTTCTACATTATTGCCTTGCCACAGCCTAACCTCGGTTTTATGGCTTCATCATAGTAAGAATTATACTTTTTTTAAAGAAATATTTTTATTGTTTCTGTAAATGATATTCTAATCTTTGTAATTTTGTAATTATGTTTTTGTGGAGTCGGATTGTAATAACATACACCAGTAGCTTTGTGTTAACAAGTAATGCACAGGTTGTTCTGATATCATAGGTATAATAATAGAGTACTACAGTGTTACGTCACGATACCATGTGATGCTACTCCGTTGCTATCGTTGCAAAATGCGTTCAACCCGAAGCCATTTTTGCCACTAACAAACCATTGATCCCAATTTCTAACGTAATTATTTTATTCAAATGTTGTATCTTACTTTGTCTTTGTAAATTTTAATTGATGATTAAATGTTAACTAATATAATGCGAGCTTTTGTGCTTTTATTACATTTTGATGGTAAAATATAAGATTTTAAAATGCCTATTCCATAAAGCCTATGCAGTCATTCAGGCGTAATGAGCGGTAACCTACGTCTGTCGACAACAGAGAGCGGCACCTAGCGTCGTGGCGACACGACTGTGGTACTCTATAGTGGTATTGTGATATTGTAGATTTTGTTTGCATGTTATGGGACAGTGGATGAGTATATTGGTGTGAATAAACAAATTTTGGACATTTATTATCTTGGTGAGAACATAGAGAAAATAGAACTTTTCTATGGTGAGAATGATTGCCTCTCCGGATCATACTGCATCTCATTTTGATTGGTTTGTTCAGCATTTTATTACAATTTTGTAATACAGGAAAAAAAATATCAAGCAAAATATTCTTTGGTTGTAAAACAAGTCGTCTTGTGTAAGGACTCAGAGCGCTTTGAACAAACCAGATCATCATTTGAGATGAGTAGGGCTGTGCCTCGGCGTATTATACAAAAAATACAAATCTTCCTTTAATCTGGAATGCTCATTTCAGTACAGTTGATGTACTGGCCTCTCAAGACGTCCAGATTTAGGGCGTGTTTCTACTGATAAACACATAATAATCCATTTTTTTTACCGCTTTTTTAATGAGTGCCCAGACAGCCTGCCCGCATTGCTACTGCATTTTTGCTTTTATAAAAATTGGTTTTCGCTGCGGAAATTACTTCACCATTTTGTTTATACAACACGTTTTCCAAAATATATAGTTTCTTTCCCACCAACAAGACAATATATTTCACATGAATTCCAGTCATGATGATGAGGAGGATACGATGTGCCACGAGAAAGCGAATGCTTTCGGCTGTGCTCATTGACACAGCGAATGAGTGAACGAACAAGGACAATGGTAGGCCCAGAAGAGCGGAAAGGCCTATGTCCAATATCCCCCAAAAAATTATTACAAAACGAGTAATTTTGTCGCTCCACATGTTTGTTAACATTTTAGCTTGTAGGCCTAGGACGTGAACAAAAGGACTGATCATTTTGAAAGTTTGCGCATGATACAATCTAGCGTTGCAGTGTTTTGAACTGGAGTTCACATTTCACCTGATAAATGCTTTTTGTGTTACAGCTACAAAGTGCACAGCCAAAATCAGTTATTTGCCAAAAGTAAGAAAATATGACTCAAGTACACAAACCCTGCAAAACTTAAACTGGAATAAACTTGAAGACCAACTGTATCGAAATGAGGCCATTACATTGTATAAGATATTCTATAATCAAGCACCACCATACTTAAACACATTATTTACCGCTAAGGAACAAAAATACCATCTAATGATGTCTTGTTTTTGGAAAAACCCAAAATGGAGTACAAAAAGCGAAGTTTTTCGTATCGTGGAGCCACATTATGGAATAGTCTTGTAAGTGCAGTTCAAAATGCAACAAATGTTTATTCATTTAAACAGTTATTACCCAGTGGTGTAGGTTTTTTGAATTTGTTTATGTTTACTTTTATAAAATTGTTTAGTAAATGGTGTTAATCTTTTTAGTATTTTATCAATATCACGGCCTTGTAGAAGAACACCTTCGGGTGATACAAGCTTTTCCGTGTTTAAACAAAGCCTTTATTTTTATTATTATATATAAACATGCTATCCATTGCGTATTTTAGTCAATTTTTTTTAATCATGTTTTTCTAACTGGTCCCATTTCTACTGCAAGAAAAAAAGCGATTTTTTGAAAAAGCAATTTTTAATTAATTTTTTTCTTTCAGTAGAAACAGGCCCCATTACAAAAAGAATGAGAAAATGAAAGAAATGATTAATGAGGTAAAAACATTTAAAATGCAATGCACTAGTCCATGATAGCCAGTATGGTGTGTGAATGAGAGTAGCTGGTACTGTATACTGGGTAGCACAGACAAAAAGTGACCCTTAGTGACACTTATGGTGAAGAAATTTATTGAATGAGCTGTAGTCTATGCATCAAAGTGCAATATCAAGTTACAATTATATTTAAAAATTCATCATTTTATGGTTAGAACAGCGCTTGCACATTCAAACCTACTGTATTTGTTGTGTTTTATCTTTGCAGTCACTGGCGTATCCAGGAATACTCTGTTGGTTATGCCATTGTGCAGTTAGGGTATGTTACTTGGTAACACCCTCTAGACATGTGTTGTGACAACTTGAAAAGAACTTTATAATACTGCATGGCAGTGAATTGTTAAGGACACATTAGATTTAATTAATGCATGATTTTAAAGGTATTGCACCTTTACAAAATTCACTATTGCACATAATTTTAGTGAAGCAATATCAATCAATATCTGAATATCTCGTTGAATCTGTAGTTTTTTTGACCACTCAGGGCCTCCCCTATAATTGTTGTGAAACAGTATCTGTTCTGTTTGAAATTAACTGAATATCAATGAAATTTTATCTCCATAATTATTGCTAATTACAATCTTTATATGACATATCCTTGTAATTACTTTAAGTATAATGACACTTGGAATATAATCTATGAAATTGAGCTTAATAATAATGCAAATAACTTCCCAATTTTTCACTGCTTATAAGTGAATATTTAGTGTATAATAACCAAATATGAATTATTTATATAGTCAGCACTGTTATTATTTTATTTTATTTTAAATTGTCTACAGTATTTCACAACAATAAAGGTTATTCGTTTTTTTTTATTTCATCCATGCTTAACTACAATACTGCATTGACAATATTTATAACATACACCTATATCAGCTTAGGAAGTTGTATTTCTTATATAGCAGCATGTTTGGTATTGAAAACTTCTCATTTC